CTTGAAATTAGTTATTTTCTATAGCACAAAAATTAGTGTTACATCTCTAAACTTTTCTTATTTTCTCCTATAAGTCCTCAAAGAAAAAAAGTGGCATGTACGCTCATAAATTCCTATATTTGAGCAAATTAGCCCTTGTGTTAACAACAAAATCACATGTAGTCGTGTAAATTAAATAGTCATTTATTTTTTTTATTCACTTTTATGACCATTATTTTACATTTAGATGCTATTGTGACTTGAATAGCCTCATCTCAACAATTTTTATTTTGATTTTTGTAATTGAACTTTTTTAAAATGTGTATAAAATTTGTATTTTTGGATTATTATTCTTTGTTTTTAGTTAATGGTTTAATTGGGTAATTTGACTTGTTGTTTTATTAATTGCATTGTGTTGAGCTAGATAAATAAGAATATGGTCGCAAGATAAGTACAGAGGAAATATTGAACTAAAATTTAAATCAATCTTGAATGTATGAGCTGAAATCTTGAATTCAAGAACCAATAAATAAGTATAAAGGTGTTAAGAAATGAATAACAAAACTTCAAATTCAACTCAAATGTACAAGCTAAAAGACACATTCAACAAGATTGAGTAACAAGTTGAACAAAAATGTAACAAAATCTAGCACCAAAATTGAAAAACTTCAAGCATCAAGGATAGAATTTCTTTGATTTGTTAACATTCCAAACTCTAGGAACTCTTCAACCCTTAATGTCTTGGAGAATATAAGCACCAAGATGTGGTACTTCAACCATTATATAAGGACCTTCCCAGTTTGGGCCTAATTTGCCAAAATAGGTTTCAAATCCTATGAGTTTAGCTTTCCTGAAGATGAGATCGCCAACTTTGAAAGTTCGAGGTTGAAGTTCGAGGTTGAACTTGTTTATTATAAAAGTTGGCTAACTTTTGCTTATAGGACAAGGTTCAAAGTTAGTCTTTTTCTTGGAGTTCATTGAGTAGATCAAGGCTTTCTCAAAGCAACTGCCCATTTCATTTTCTCATTGAAATGGCTAACCCTTAAGCTTGGGACTCCTATCTCAATAGGAATTATTGCTTTAGTGCCAAAGGCCAAATGATAGGTTGTTTCACCTATTTGAATGAAATACTATTTTAGTATTCATTTTACATATTATGCACGTTTAGACTATGGCTAAAGTAAAGAATGAAACGAAATAGGAAATGTAATGAAATGAAATGAATTAAGGTAAGTTCAAGAGCTTGTACTTGTCACAATTTGGCTTATGGTTTGTATGCCTATAACACATTGTTGAGCTCATATGCCTACCTACCCTTGTGCTACTCCAACCTTGACTTGATTCCTTCAAGAATTGCTTTGTTAACTGATTCTACCATTCCATTAACTTCCAAATGGTAAACCAAGGTGAATTGTAACTTGATCTCATAGCTAAAACAAAAATCTTTAAATGAGGTGTAGTTGAATTGAGTTCCATTATCAGTAACAATCTGATTCGAGATCTCATATTTGCATATGATTGATCTAAACACCAAGTCTTCAATCTCTTTTGAAGTGAGACTGGATAACGGTCAAGCTTTGACTTGCTTTGTGAAGTACTATACACCAACCACTAAATGTGTTACTCTCACAACTCCCTTCACAAATGAGCCTAAAAGGTCAAGTCCCCACTGTGAAAATGGCCATGGTGCCACCAGGTTAATAAGCTCCTTTGCTGGTTGGTGGGTTAGATATGCCAAGAATTGGCATTTGGAGCACCATTGTACAAATTCCTTGACGTCTTTTTGCATGTTTGGCGAGTAGTACCCCTACTTGAGAACTTTATGAGCTAACATTCCCCTGCCCACATGGCTCTTACAAACACCTTTTTGCATCTTGTGAAGGGCATACTTGACCTCATAAGTTGTTAAACAATGAAGTAAATGAAGTGAAAGGGACTTCTTGTAAAGGACTCCATCAATGAGAGTGTATTGAGATGCCTTTCTTCTTAGCCTCATCTCTTCCTTTTTGTCTTCGAGAACTGAGTCATTCCGTAAATAAGATTTGATTGGGACTGTCCAGCTTGGAGTAATTGGGTCTGTGTTAATCTACAATGGCCTTGGCTTTTGGAAGCTTGGCTCATTAAGCACCTCAGCATAAATTGACTTCATCTCTCAAAAGCTATCTGAAGCGAATTTAGAGAGTGAATCCACTTGCTTATTCTCGAAATTGGATATTTTCATGAAGCCAAATTTTTCAGATCGACACTTTAGCTCAGATACCATGGTTGCATATTTTTTCAAAGTGGGCTTAAGAATCTCACAAACTAAGTTTACTTGATTTACCACAAGCTGAGAATCAACTGTAAATCTGAATAGCTTTGATGTTTAGCTCTAATGCCAGTTGAAGCCCAAGCAATAAAGCCTCATACTCAG